CTTTTTACTCCAGCCTTCAAAAACTGCACTCTGGACCAGGGGCAGTCAGATGTGCTGAAGGAGGTTGTGCACTTACCAAGTTGTGCCTACCAGCTTCCCGAATCCAGCGGATGTTGTCATGGTACTGCTGCTTCACAGATGTGCTCACTTGCAAGAGACAGCAAGCAAGAAAGACATTTTGAAAATTAATTCAATATGCTCTAAATTTAATTTAATTCATCTGACAGCATTAGGAAGTCAAATTCTGCTCTCAGATACAAGCACGCATATAAGAAATGCTGTATAGAATCCTCTGTGCAGCTGATGCAGTAACTGGTACCATATATTTAAAGGAAGGTATGAGATGTTGCCCTGGAGACAGCTGGAACTGTAACTCCCATTAGTTCATTAGCAAACTGAATTAAACCTTGAAATACGGGTTACACGTACTGTTCGTTTTTGATCACCTGGCTTGCTGCCTGCTAAATGCCCAATCCCTTTCTGAGCCTTTGCAAAATTAGTAGCTTTAGCAAACTCCATGACATTGGGTACTACAGTCCAGTCTTGCATCAGGTAGTAAATAACTCCTTTGAGTCAGCTGGCAGAAATTCTCAGCAGCAGCTGGCAATACATACTTGAGGATAAGTTACACCAATGCTGGGACACAGATTTATAGCACAGCAGTTGCTCTGTTCTAAATGGCCCACATGAATGCTTTTATCCCCAGATAAAACTGAGGTCTCTCATCCTACAAACTGAGGTATGTTGCCTTGCATTACTATGGAGCACAAACGGCACAGAAAAACTTATTATGAAGTAGCTACTTCATGTGTAAATCTACCCTACACCTTGTTTAGATACATATGTTGTTACATAAGAAGAGAATTATATATAATGGTTTTATATCCTCCAGCTTCTGCTCTCATTTATATCTGGGCTATTCCATCTCAATCCGCCAAGCTGAAGAGGAGTAAGAATAAAGATACTTGAAATGAAAGACAGTGAAATATAGCATGTATAAGTCAGGTACATGGTGACCTCAGTACAATCAGCTACCTCCAAAAGAATGGCACCATCTGTGGAAAGTGAGTAACAAAAGGGAGAGTGGGTATGCAATGGGACAGAAGCATTGTCTTACTGTCTTAACTTTGGGGGCTTTTACCATTACGCCTTTCCACACAGGCTGAGTGTGAGCTGAGGTGAGGTTACAGTGGCTGAAGAAGTTACTGCCTGTAGGCTCTTTCTCTGTGGGCTAAGCTACGTCACGTTACCTTGTCCTGAGAGACATGGTCAGCTACCAGGGCTCAGCTGGCATGTGGCAACATGCTAAGCCACAGTGACTTGCTCATGCACTGGAGCTTCAAGTTATAATCGTTTCTACAGATGCAAGATAGCATGTTTCCCATCACTTTCCAGCTCTCACCCATTTTCAAGTCAAATTATAATGTACATATAACTTATGTTCGAAAGTCCATCAAACTGTAGAAACTGCACACTACTAACTTGAAATTGTCCCTGGTAACTGAGAGGAGTGTTTAGACTGCTGTCTTTCCACTAGGCAGTATGTCAGCAGATATGCATAGTAAAACTAGAAAAAGGAAAGACCAAAAGGCAAGATACTCATATTTAATCCATGTTAAACACATTGTTAAAGGGAAATGTAAAATATGCTCGTTCCTGCAGGCAAGCCTTCCTTACAGAGAGCTTTAGTGATCTTAAAAAGACCTGTCAGTGCTTTAGGGGTTGGCTGCAAGTGATAGCTTCTAAACTCTGCAATGAGGATTAACACGTCAGCTCTTAGCTTTGCAGAGAGTGAAAGATGAAACATCTGCTACTGCTGTCCTAGTAGGATTGTGCTGCCATTCATAAGCTTTAAGGAAGCATCTTCTAGAAGGTAATGGGTAGTATTCACTTAGGTTATTATAGATATTTAATGAGAGTTTACAGGGGTTGCTCTAGAAAACCAAATAGAGAATGAGTCCCTTTCTATCACTTTTATAAGCTCAGAGAGTACTTAGCCATGTTTTATATGTCACAGTGCATAGACTTACAGAAAAGATCTTACTGTCTGTTCATTCTATGGAAGAGAAGCCAGATGAGAGTACTGGCCACGTGGACATATCTCAGCACAGCACATCTGTCCCTCCCAGCCAGCTCCAATAAACGGTCATATTCCCTGTCCTAAACTGTGGTGTGTCTGAAGTTGGATTTCGTCAGTTATCCCTAAGAAAGTGAAGAAACCTCCCTTTTATTCAGTCTTACTTCCTGCAATGGAAAAAAATCTTACAGCTTTTTCTAGAAAGACCTTAACTTTAGACTAGCTCCATGTGTTCATTTGCTAAACTGCTGCCTCTACCTTCCCACCCCAACAGTAATATGTTTTGAAGTCAGGCAAGCCACGGTATTGCTTCTGGTATTTAATAGGCCCTTGTACTTATTTAGGGTTTAAAAGATACTAGAAAGCATTGTGTACTCAGGGGAATAATCCCCGTCAACACAGAGATTGGCTCCCTTTGCTTTTGGGAGATTTGTATTGTTGGTATGCATCAGCTCAGCCTTCAAACTACCACAGAGATCATAAATCCAAGTTACACTCCCATCATCAGTGCTGCATCTCCCATGCAAAGGCTAACTTAAAAGCTCGGGTAGCTTAGGAGTGGAAGCAGATAATAAAACTACAAGTTTGTGAGGTTTAAGTGCAAATATTCATCTCCACAAAAGGAGAAGAATGGTTAACACTGGACTTGAGGCCAGGTCAAAAGTTTAGACTTGGAATGCAACAGACTTCAGCTCTGCAGAGTTTAGTCAGCCTTCATAACAGATTCTTTTTCAAAATTCAAAAGTAGGTTCAGATTTTACATGTATATGTGTGTGAGGATATCCAGACCCTGGAATTTGGTCGAAGCCCAGGTCCCATAGGAAGTGGACAGCATGTGGAATACTCAAGAACATGAATCCATGAATGGCTGTTCATTTTCTGGCCAAATTCTGTTTTCATTTCTCTTTGAAATCCTATTCCCATTGTCCTGCCAAATTCAACAGCAAATCCAATAATAGCCTTGCCCTTAAGCTCGTTTTCACCTGTTGGGATTTTTGAGATGTCATTTTTCATTTAAATTAAGAATATACATGCAAGAATTCAATGCTTGTCTGTGGAAGAGACTTCTCTCCCCAGCTTTACATTATGATCTGTATAAACACCCGCATGCTATTGTACACACAGTAATTGATTCATTTTCTAGTCTTGCAATGCAAACCATCCAAAGGTCACACATCAGTTCAATCTTGTGAGAAGATTACTGGAGATTGCAGTACATAGCAGAAAAATTGCTGCAAATTTTTGAAGATCGATCCAGCACTACAGTATTGGATTTCACCCTCCCTTCAATTAAGCTGAGGGACCAGGTTTAAAAACATTAAAGTTTTGACAGCCATAGAACACAGTAGGCACTTTGTGTCATTGCATTAAAAATACCTCATGCTTCCATGTTGTTTCTTGAAAATGACTCCCAAGAAAATTTCAGGAGAACAGACAGAACTAAGGACCTTGTAGGGTCAGACCCACTCTATCAATAATTCACCTCTTGGGAGGAAGAGGAGGCTAGACATCAGCTTTACACTATAGGAAGATAACAGTAGTTTTGTTTCAAATGAGAGATGTATCTGAATGTGGTATATCCTTTTCAGAAATAGATCCTCGCAATGCTAACTGTTCCAGAACAAATAGGAAAGCATTCAAAATTTTCATGCTTCTATTCATATTTCAATTATGTCTTTCATGAAAGAAGCAACAAATATTTCAATATTACTGGATAAAAATGTTATGCTCTCCTCCCCATAAAATACGCTTTGGATTTGCGATCCATTTCCTTCTCATCCCTTCCTTGATTCTGAGAAGCACAAAGCTCCACTCTCTGGAAAGGGAAGAGCTGAGGACTTCAGTGCTAGGGGACAATGACACTTAAATCTTTGAGTCTGATGTCCAGTTGCTGTAGAAGAGACAAAGAAAGGGAAAGGAGTAGGGCCTTCCACTGCAACCTGGCAGATCAGGATTCATGTTTGCTGACACAAAACTAGCTTTGTCTCAGTTCCTGTTCATAGCCAGGGGATAACAGTGATAGCTCACTTTCAGGGATATTGAAGAGTGAAAGATAGTGTAATTCTTAGATACTAGAGTAGGATACAGAGCCATGCAGATATGCCAGTTTGGTTCCACCAGAGAGTAGAAACAGCTGTCAATTTATTAACAAGTGACAAAACAGAAAGACGTCAAAATTGTAATCACAAATAAATGACACTGGATGGAGCACCACACCCATGAAGCCTGCGTTTCCTGCCCCTGATCTGCTTCCTAGCCTCTTAATAACCTCCCTAGACTCCCATGCCTCATTCACCTGTGGGACAGGGGCAAAGAAATTTGACTCCTTTAAAAAACTCTTGGAGAGCTGTTGATGAAAGATACTGTTTGCCTTAAAGTTTCAGGGTGACAAAGTGCAGGAAAATCTGTAACAAATGAACAGAAAGGCTCTTAGACAAATTTGCAACAATAGCTTTGGGATCAATAACCTCTCTACATGGTGTTTTTACATTTTACTTACTGGTTACACGCCTTACAGGAGTTTGGAGAACAGTAAGATTTCCTGCCCACATGGAACAGGCAAGAGACTGCTTTCTATGGGTTCAGCCAAAAGCTAACACACATTTCACAACTCTCAGTTTCCTTTCCTCCCCAAAAGCACTCCAAGCGATGGATGGGGACATGGGATGGTGTCTTACCTCCCTGACGTATAGAGTCTTCCAGCACAGACATGGCAATTGAGTCAGTGGTAGCAAGATCCTGTGGGTCACCTGAGGTACAAACCCAGCGGAATGGCCCAAATCCCAGAGAAAAAATGTCCCTGGGAAGAGAACATGTTTCATTAAGAGATAGTTGAAATTCTTTCCTTATTTATCCTGGCTGCTAGCAGTGCTTTTCTTTCATTAGCTGGAGACAGAAGAATTTGAAACATTTTCAATGAACTAATCTAAACATAAGCATCAAGGACCGTTAATTAAGAAATTAAACAGTGCTGTTTCATGCAGCCATTGACAGTTGTATAAAAATACAGTCAGGCCAGGCCAGAATTTCGATAGGAATGTTGGGCAGTTCAATCAAACAAGTGCATCATCAGATGAATTGCAATTTTTCTTTTGTTTCAGCAAATATACTCTTCCTTCTGCCTGGTCTTTTCGTCCTTAACCCAGGCTAACTCTGAGTGCATCTACACTATCAGACAAGTGCAGGTTGTGAATAAGTGCCTGAGTCCAGACTAATTTGCTGCCCACATTGTTTACAGAAAGGAGTAAGACATGCTTCGATTGAGTTCCGGGAGAAGAGATGTAATCTGGTTAGCACCTTACTCTATGTTCAAGCTCTTATTCACATGGTATAGGCAAGTTAAGCATGAGTCAGAAGCAAAAGGTGTTATAAACCCTGTCTCTCAACAGATCTCCTGAGCTCAGCTTTTTCTACAAGCTGTACACACAGCTTGGGTAAGAGGTACAGTCGCTGACATGCACAGAAAAGTGTCCTGTTTCAGACATGCTTTTAACTTCAGCGTAGACATAGGTTTTGATGATTTGGAATTGAGCTCTACTGCTCTGAAGAGGCAAGTTCTTCATTTTTGGCACCTAGAAGTGAAGTTGCACGTAGTTACGGTTTGAGTCTGTGACTTGGCTATTCTCAAATACAACTGCTCAAGGAAAATTGATGCAACAAAAGAGAAAATGGAGTGAAGAGCTTTGTTTTGGCAATGTTTTAGCCTACTGTTCACGCATCTGGTGTCTGCTTTCATAAGACCTAGTTCTAAAAGGGATAAAGTTTTACACCAAATTATCAAGACATGCCATGCCTTTCAGGACAAAATATTAGCAAAACCTCTGCTGTCAGAGTTTACTTATGTTAATCACATACAACATGTCCCTCCAGGTCTGGCTCTTCTTTTCCCCTGTACACAGGAAAATGCATGGAATACCTTTAAGGAAGCCAATAAATAACATGAGCATGATGGTTACGGCCAACAGGAGGTCTTCTAAACCACACTGGGCTTTACACCAGAGTGGAGAAAAATAATACTAACTCTAGCATAACACCAACACCTGTGAGAACAACTTTCCTACTGCTACTGTTGACTCCTTTACATCATTTATACTACACTGCAAGATTTACACTGAGTGAAATCTCTGCAGTACTCTCCCCCTAAACAGAGGAAGGCACTTGCATGCTTTATTCTAAACTTTCCCCAACATACCCCATGATGTGCTGAACATAGGAAGGATATCGAAATTCTGTTTTATTGGCTCCTCTTTTCTCAACATCAGCACCTACAAAAGAATTTTAATAGTCAGTGACTTGATGAAGAAAAACTATAAAATGTGGGGTTTTTAGCTGCACCTGGGTTCCCATGAAGGCTCTACCTCAGCCACAGAGAAGTTCAGGGGTCTCAGAGAAAGAGAGAGACTAAAGACTTGGTATAACATGGTGGCCAACCCTATCCTACCAAAATATACAACTGGGAAGACGCATGCATGAATGTCCTTGTTTCCACCTAACAACTCCAGTATCTACTCACCAGCCCTTTGAGCTTCCAAGAGAAAAGCATTGCCATAATCCCAAAAAAACATTCCCTTATCAGCTAGTCTGTTAATAGCAGCCACATGTCTCTTCAGACTGAAATAAAGAAGGAAGCAGTTATTCTTGAGATCGGTAAGATACCAAAAAGAATAATATCATGAATTCATTAAGGGCATGGGAGTAGGGGGAGAAAGGATGCAACTGAAAGACCCCAGAGAAATTCAGACATAAACCCATAAGACATCACTTGAGATGCTTTCAGTTTGTGTAGCACCTCTTATCCCCAAATCTTGAAGTGATTTACAGTCATTAAGGGATCTTCATTAATTAGCAGAGTGGAGTCATGTCTTTCAGCAAAGAAACGCAGACAGCTCTGAGGATGGAAGGTAATAACAGAAAACAGCCTACACAAAACTGCAAAGCGGTTTACGAAGTTCACAGAGAAAGTGAGCAGACACAGAAAAACTGAAAATGGCTAAACATCACTGTTCTGGCCTCTCCCTTGGCCAAAACAGCCCAATTTTCCCTTTGTTTCCAATAGCAGACCATACCCCAGGATGGTGCTTTCTGACACCATTTCCACTTAATATTAGCTAGTTCTAATCTCAATGCATATTTGCATATGGAGTTGTACATGCATAGATGTAACCTCTTGGAACTCTAGAGAGGTAAATCAATATGTAACAAATTAAACTGGATTTTTTTAGGTCATACCTAGGTTGTTAGAAATTAGTCCCTCCCAGAAATTTACTTTTCTGTTAACTTTGTCTTAGAGTAGTATGATACAGAATTCAGACGCTGAAAAGGTCTTTGTAGGTGCCTCATCCAAAGTCAA